TGTGCTGCGGCTTGTGTGAGCGACACTGCTCGGCGACTGCCGGCACACTGTGAGACCATGGGTGTGAGGTTAAACCACGCTACCAGCGCTTGGTCACATCGGCCCCGAGGTCAGATCCTTCTACTCTGTTGATGACAAGACTTGTCTACTGGCTGGAGCCGAGCAGGAGGGCCCAGCGCACAACCCCTGGTCAACTCAGGGTCCACACCCCGTATCAGACCTGCCACAGCATAAGACAGCTCCATGGCACGCTGCTCCTCCATCTTTCTATTTCTGCATCGGGCTTTGCTCACAGGACCAGAGCGCGAGGGATGGCTGTGGAGATGCAATCACAACACTCCCACATGTATGTGAGGATCGACCTGGTGGTGGGAGGCCATGAACACAACATTGAGCGCGCGGAGGTGGTCAATGGTCTGCTCTCTCTAGCTGCCCATAGTGATAGTGATAGTGATAGTGATAGTGATGGCACCGTTCCTGCGACCGCGACTTCTGCGCAGTCACTGGTGAGGCGCCACGCTGCGCTGCCGCGCTTGATGCCATGCGCGTTGCGACCGGCGTCGTCGGATACGTAGTCTGCGTCGTGAGCCTCGGCAAGCGCGGCGCCGGCGTCTACCCGAAGCTCAAGCTGGTCGACTTGCACGTGCTCGTCTCGCGAGTTCGCCTTGGTGCTCGCCTCTTCGTGATCGGCCTTAACCCCAACGACGTGGACCACCTGCGCCAGCTACGGCCGTCGGAGGTGCTGGGCATCTGGGAGCACGGCTACAACCAGATCACGGAGATGTGGGAGCCGGAGCTCGCGGCCGCCTACGCCGCGGAGCGCGTCGCATCGCGGCGGGCCGCCGAGGCCAAGGGCCGCAAGCGAAAGCGGCCCGCCGGCGCGTGACCGCACTTGGGGGCCGCGCCATTGCAGCTGTGTCATGATAGATAGATAGATCATAGAAAGCATGAAGCATGTGCATGACGTCATGATGGATAGATAGAAGCATAAAGCATGTCAAAAGGAATTCACAACGAAGAGGACCTCAAAAAGAAACTACGTTGGACCCATGCGGGGACTTTTATCGGCGCGCCAGGCATTTCACCGCCCCAGCGTTGCGTTTTTTCTCACACCACGTGCCTCTGGACCGCCGTTCTTGAAAAAGTGGGTGGGTGGGTAAACGCCCCGGATGGTGGGTGGTGGGTGGGTGGGTGGGTGGGTGGGTGGGTGGGTGGGTGGGTGGGTGGGTGATTTGTCGTTTCTCTCTCCCTTGGCGCGCGCTTCGAGGCACAGCTCCGTCGTTGCCACACCATGTCGTTCCTCGCACCGTGCCCACGGAACAAGCTGACCGAGATCGCGCTCCCCGACGGCTGCCGTGTGCCTCACGGTGCGCTCAACAAGTCGTCCAAGGGCGGACAGCTGTTACGCTCGACGAGTGCTACACCGCTCCCACACCAGCTCGAGTGGTTCAAGCGCGAGGCGACCCTCGTCTCCGCCGAGCTCGACGACGAGGAGGCCGTCACGCTTCGAAGGTGCTTCCATGATGGGATGTTCACGCAGGGCAACTACGCCCGAAGCGCTGGACAGCACCCGGCAGACATCACGGGGCTCGCGTTTGCGGGCTCGTTCGTGCAGATGCAACACGGCGCCTTGCTCTCGGACGTGGCTCTCGAGTTCTGCAAATGGAAGCAGCTGGTGCTGCTCTCGTTGCGGAGCAAGTTTGGTGAGGGCGTGTACGTGCCCGAGTTTTTCCAGATCTACAACTTTTCCGTCGCAGATGAGGGTCGGGCCGCTCTCCTGGCGTCTCTGCGGGCCCACCACGGCACCTGGGTTAGGGTCTATGACTTCATCCGCGAGCGTCTCAACGTGATCAGCCTCCCCGTCCAGAGCGCTGGCTCGTGGCGCGTCGCGCTGCTGCCAAACATGGCGGGCGCCAACGACGCCGACGTCTCAGCGCAGGTGGGCACCTTCTATGAGCTCCTCGCGCTGCGACAGCGCATGGGCATCGAGCTGACGCAGGACGACGTGTCCAACCTCGCGACGGCGATGCGCGCCGGCACCGGTGGCGAGCGCGCGATGCTCGACTACCTCATCGCCAAGTTCGCGCCGCGCGAGACTCGCGAGAAGCTCATGGGCAGGGGGCGCGCGATGCGAGGCGCGAAGTTCTTGGCCATCGCCGTCGCGAGGGTGCCTTTGCGGCTGCGGGCCGCGCCCCCCTTCGCATCCTCCGCCTTGAGGGCGACCTTGTGCGCGACCTTCGACGCCAGGCTCTTGAAGCGCGCACAGCATGCGTCGAGCTCCTGCTTCATCTTGGCGGGCAGCCCCTCCTGCTCCGTGGCGAGCTCGGAACCCTCCTGCGCGAGCCGGCCGAGGATGGCAAAGTTGCCCGCGTGCATGGCCGCCTGAGCCTCCGCCGTCTTGGCGGCAATCGCGGTCGCGAGCTCCCCCTCCCTCACGGCGTACCTCTCGCCAATCACCTGCCGCTCCTTCTGGCACTGCTCGACCACCTCTCCCACCGTGCCGTACGACGCGAGCTCCTCCTTCGCGGCCGCCACCTTCTCGAGGTTCTCCAGGTCCTTGAGGTGCATCTTCAGCACGTTTACCACCGTGCCCAGCAAGCCAATCTCGCCCGCCTGAGTTGGCGGGCTGTGCGGTGAGCGTGGCATATGTGCATGTGCATGCGGGTGGAGCGCAGAGGGACGGCGGCTGCCTTGCGCGTTGCGTCGAAATCAATCGGCGTCGCCCGCACGCCGCTCCTGCACCCGCTGTGCCGCATCAGCGTCTTGAGCTCGTCCTTGCGCTCGTTGGAGATCTCGAAGCGCAGCGACTCGCGTAGCAGCACCTTGCCGGTTCCCTCCTCCTCCACGGCCGGCACGAGCGTGAATGGGCAGGGCGCTTCCTCGGCGAGCGTGAATGGCAGCACCACCTTGCCGCTCTCGTCCCGCTTCTGGTCGCCGAGGAAGCGCGCGATGGCGGTCGGGTTGGCGTACGCCCACTCAATGTCCGATCGGAAGGCCCATCCCAGCCTGGAGTCGGGCTTGAACACGCGGAGCACCCTCGTATTGGCCTTGTCCGCCTCGGCGTCGAGCAGCTCCTGGGGCTTGACCTTGCCGCCCTTGCCCTTGCCCCTGCCGTTGGAGACCTTGCCGGTGGGCGTGGGCTTGACATAGTGCACCACCTTGAGCATGTCCATGCTGAAGGGCGTCACCTCCTTGCCGGACGAGTCGACCGGGCGCCCATCGCGCAGGAAGGGCGCCGAGACTCCAGCGTTCCTGCACGCCTCCTCGTGCGCCCTCGACTCCGCGACCAGCTTCGGATCCAGCCTCTTCTTCTTGGTGGAGCCCATTCCCGAGAGCACGCGCCGTACCTGCGCGATCGCCACGTCGCTGACGATGAAGGCCAGCTCGCGCACAATGCGCTCCCAAGCGGCATCGTTGGCGACCGCGCTGAAGACCTGCTCCGCACTGAACGGGTTGGGCGCAGTTGCGCCGGCATCGCGGAAGAAGATGTCGAGCTCCTGCTTGCCCATGGGGTACTCCTCGCTCGTGCGCTTGGACATAGCACGCGGTGGCGAGGAGAGCGACGACTCGGGCGCGAAACTGTGTTCGCGCGTTACGGCGGGCGGTGTTTTTCTTCCTGTCGTAGGTGGTGGGAGTTCCTAAATCAGCCAGGCCGTAGGGTGGGTGGGTGGTTCCTCGCCTCATCCGGGCCGTGAGGTGGGTGGGTGGTGCCACGCCTCAGCCGGGCCGTGAGGTGGGTGGGGTGGGTGGGTGGTTCTAAGCCTCAGCCGGGCCGTGAGGTGGGTGGGTGGGTGGGTGGCTCAAGAAGCTCGTGCACGTGAACGGAGGTCCAGAGGCACGTGGTGTGAGAAAAAACGCAACGCAGGATGTGAGGCGCCCACAAGAGGCGCCCAAGGCTTCGGCGGCGGCAGCTCAATCTCTCTGATTTCACGCCGCCCTGCCGCACAGGCGCCTCCTCATGCTCGCCGGCCTGGCAGTGTGCTGCCTCTCCGCACCGCCCACGTTCCGCGTCCGCTTTGACGTCGAGACGGCCGCCAGAGACTAGATATATGCGGCACAGCGATATCCATCAGCCCTTGCCAGCTCCCGTCCGACAGACGCGCCCGCTCCCTACAGACGGACGGGCCGGGCTCCTTCGAGGTGGAGGTGCATCCAGAGTGGTCGCCGCTGGGCGCCGAGCGCTTCGCCGCTCTGGTCCAGACTGGCTTCTACGATGACACTCGATTCTTCCGCGTGATTCCGTCATTCATGGTGCAGTTCGGTCTCTCTGGCGACCCCGCTCTAAACGCAAAGTGGCGTGCCAATCAGGTGCCGCCGCACGCAGCTGTCTCGGCTCGCCCTCCTCACAGTGAGCAGCGTCTCTCACGCCCACTCGGAAGCGCATTAGATCAAGGACGATCCGGTCGTCGAGAGCAACAAGCCCGGCTACATGACCTTTGCCAAGACGGGAGCGCCAAACTCGCGCACGACGCAGCTCTTCATCAACTATGTCGACAACGCGCGCCTCGACGGGATGGGCTTCGCCCCTTTTGCAAAGGTCTGGGGCCTTGCGCTTTACATGCCGCGGAGCGCCTGTCATTACCTTACCTCGCCTTACCAAAGGTCCTTGGCGACGGGATGGCCGTCGTCAAGAAGATCTACAACTGCGGCGAGAAGCCCAACCAGGGGCAGATCCAGAACGAGGGCAACGCCTACTTGGACAAGAACTTTCCGGAGCTGTCCAAGATCGTCAAAGCGACCATCGTTACAGCCAAGGAGGAGATCTAGAGGAGGTCCGACAGACGGAGGGTGCGTCCAAGGACGCTCCGCACTACCTTACCAGCCTCGCTGGCCGCCGGGGTTGTGGGGCGCGAGGGCGCGAGCGAGGGCGAGGTGGGAAGGACGCGCGAGCTGAGATGTGAACTCTCTTTCGTGTGATCCTTCACCATTATTACGTTTACGTGACATCGTGTCGCGGCGAGCCACCTCGAGCCCGTCGACAACTTTTCGCACGCACAACGTACACGTAAAGAGCCATACTTGTGGCTCTCGCACAATCAAAAGTAACAGTCCCGCATGGCAGCACAACACGCGACCCACACTTCTCCGTCGACCTCTCGAAGCACGAAGGCTCTCGCTTCCTTGGTCCGTCGCATTTTCGCTTCCGCTCTGCGGCTCCTCGATCCTTTTTTCTGATTTCTCCCCCGCGGGCAGCCCTCCCCGGACCCCGCTCCCGTCCCGAGCAACTCGGCGCTTGTTCGCCTCTATCCGCGACTCTTCTCTCTCTCACGTGGCGGCGGAGCTAGCGGGCCATCGCGTGAGGTCGGCGGCGACCGCGAAGCTCCAAAACGACTCCAGCGTCTCGGTGAGTGCCGGCGGGTGGTCGGCGAGTTCGTGTTGCGGCTCCGGGCCGCCTCTCGAGGGCAGCATACTGCAAACAGGGAGGTAGAACGCCGGGGCGGGGGAGTACTCCCTAGTCGTTTCGTACCTGCTCACAAGCCAGAGGTGAATAGACGCCGTTCACACCAGGACAAACTCCCCTGTCTTCTCCTACCTCGCGTGACAGTCTTCACGCGAGTAGAGCACGTCGTAGTGGTGTTCCTGTGCACACACCAGCGCATGTGAAGAGGCGCTTCTCTGCCACAGCGGCGGGACACGTCCGGGTGGTCCTGCTTCCGGCCCGGTTTCTGCACCGGCTCGGGCACCGAAGTGATGAGCCGTAGTGCCGTCGAGAAGGAGTTTGCCATCTGGCAGCCTATTCACAGCAGGGAGCATCGGAAGACCTTGTTTGGGCCTTGTCTCCAAAGGCGTCCGCCATCGGGCCGCCCTGCAGCACGCGATGGCTCGAGGCGGAGGAGCCTACTATCGGAGATCCCTCCGGTATAATCTCGTGTAGGACTCGCACAGGCATCCTCGAGGCCGCGGGCCATTCTGTCGGCGAGGGAGAGCGGGAGAGCGGCGGACGCGCGAGCCGTCCACCGTGTGCAAGAGCAGCATCGGTCCGGCAAAGGGCCGCGTAAAGCGAGGCTCGTACAACAACCGCTGGACACCCTGGGCCTGCCCTGCCAACGCCCATTCGCTCCCCTTGGCGGCACTTTTGAAAGCCGCCGCAGCGTCCGTCAGCCGGTGCACCCCAACCCGCACGCAGCTGCTCGGTCCCATCCGGGACTCGCGCAGGCACACTCGGAAGTCGGCGGCGTGCAACGCGCGCAGCGACTCGCGCAGCGGCCGCTGGTCGTCCGCCGTCTTGCCTAGCTTCAGCTCGTCGGACCAGAGCTTGAGCAGCGCCGTGAGCGGCCGCCCCTTGCGCACGAGCAGCGCAAAGTTGTGAGGCAGAAAGTCGGTGACCCGCCCCGGCCGAATCACCCCGTAGTAGTCATTATATCTCCGTATGGGCGCCGGCAGCTGTGACTCCTCCGCGAGCGGCGACGACTCGAAATTGACAGCAAAGTCGATCGCGGCGTTGCGATGCGCGGCGGCGAGGGCGCCGTGCAGCATGCTCGAGCAGATCTGCACCGTTGCGTCGAGCTCAAGTGTGAGCTCGAAGGGCGAGGCGGCGAGCGCCGCCACACGAGCCAAGTAGCTCTGGCGCCATCGCTGAGCGTACACCGTCGTGTTGGCGGCCACAATGAAGTCGAACGTGCTGCGCACCTCCCTTGACGCGGCGAGATCGGTGGCGAGTGCGGTTGGCAGGTCTGGGCACGCCGTGCGGACGCTCAGCACGCTGCTCTGCACCTGAGGCACCGAGCGGCGGCCGAGCTCACGCCGAGCTCAAGCCGAGATCACGCCCTGAATGCGTGCTCTGCACACCTCAGCGAGGTAGCGATCAACACGCTTGCCTGGGTGCTGCGGCGAGGCGAAGGACATCACCACGTAGAGCACCCCCACCGGTGCCGCGGCCGATCGCAGGTAGCGAGGGCTAACAGACGCCCGCACAAAGCCGTCGTAGTCGGCGCCTGAGGGGAGGCAAGACGAACTTTCAGACATTAAAGGCAGCCTTGACGTGGCCGTTTGTTCTTGTCATGCCGGCGTGTGCTACAAACAGCCCGTATTCGCTCGCCCCTCCCTTCTTGCTTTGCTGTGGCTCATCGTTCTGCATAGCTGTCGCCGTGCAGATCGACTGACTGCACGCTGCCTGCATCTAGGACGCAGCACCCGCCACGAATTCAATATGAAGAGGCGCAGCGCTGCTGTTGTCTGCACCTGCGGGGGCCGCAATTCGTGCGATGGGTCGCGGCTGCGGCGGCTCGCGTGCCAAATGCCGACTGCGCCAGTGCTCGCTTTGGGTGATGCACTCTGTTGCTGTCTATGGCGGGGTTGCGGGCGGCACCGTGCTTCAGCGGTCTGCCTCGCGGGTCGCTGGCCGCATATCCCCTGCGGACCGCCGCGACTGCCTTTACCTTCATCGCATGCAGGAGCCAGAAACGGCTCGGTAGAGACTCTGTAGTCGGTCTTGTCTCGAGGTGCACCCGGTTAAGCCAGACTGGCGCGGAATGATGCGGCCGCGTGCGGCCGGCGGGCGCGATTGTGACGGGGCGAGGCTCGGGGTTGCGGCCGCGTGCACCGCCGCTGGCGACGCTGTAGTCAGCGTCGCGGGGGCGCGTTTACTTGTGAATGTCGAATCTCTTTACGGCGCGAAAGTCGATCGGATTCACCTAAAAGGGATACAATTAGATAAAAGGAGTGGGAATCCCACGGACGCACGTAGTTGTTACGTCACCCCAAAGACATTTTAGGTAGGTGAAGCTGACGCGCAACCCCCCCTCTCCCGGTCAGAGGGGGGAGGGGTGGCACCTACCTGTGTGTATGTCGTAGGTATGTTGTTGGCAAAGGAAGGTATGTAGCGTGAGTGAGGTCGCCGGCTGCACTGTTTGCTCCGCGCTGGCAGGCGCAATGCTGGCTGGCAGTTGTAATAAGTTGCCAAATGTGTGAATTTTCGTGGGAAGGGGGAACGGAAATTCTTTTCATTGAGTGTGCCAGTCCGCGCCAGTCCGCGCCCTTGTCGTGCCAGTGTGCTGTGAGAGGGGCACGATTTAAGAATTCTTTGCAAAGGATAGGCTCATGCTCACCAGCTCGCGCCAGGACGCGGCCGTGGCTCCTTCCAGGCCCAAGCCCAAAGCCCAAAGCCAGGCCCAAAGCGTGGTGATGATGCTCGTTGCTACAACAGTCGCCCTACTGCTGCTGCTCGGCTTCAGCACGAGCCAAGGCGCTGCCGCGGCGGTGGACGGACCTCGACCTCGCTCCTTCTTCTGGTTCAACGATGTGACGCCAGCGCTGCCGCCGTTCCCACCACACCAGCCGCCGCTGCCGCCGTCGCCACCTCCACCGCACCCGCCGCTCCCGCCGCTAGCGCCGCCGCCGCCTTCGCCACCGCCGGATGAGTTCGACTGCCACGATCTCGGCGGCTTCGACGCAACCATGTTCCGTGGGATGATGAGTCAGTACATGGAGCGTTTCTACGGATCTCTGCCGACCGCACCGCGCGAAGGCCGCGAGTACCGGCGGCTCGGAACGATGGAGATCGTGCGGTACAACCTGAGCTACACCAACATCGAGCTCGGCGAGGCAAAGCTGCTCGGCTGCAGAAACAAGGGCGCCAACAAATGGTGCGTCGCCACCCTCTCGCCTCCAGGAGATGCAACCCTCCTCCGTGCCCCGCGGCAACGCCCCGACCGCGGACGCGCCGTCCCGGCCGACTGTCCCGCGTGGCTGGCCTGTGGCAGCTGACCCGGGCTGACTAGCTGGGGCTGACCTGTGGCAGGTGGGACCCGGTCGAGAATGAGCTCGACGAGATCGGCGACTCGGTCAGCGAGATGCTCGGCCCGCTCGCGCCGTACATCGGGCCAAACAAGGGCTCGCGGCTGATCGAGTTCGACACAGTCACGCTGGAGATGGAGGTCGAGACGAGAGCAGCCGAGAGCAGCCGAGAGCAGCCGAGCGAGGTCACCCGAGATCACCCCAGATCACCCGAGATCGCAGGTCAAGTCGTTCGGCCTGAGCATGCAGTCCCACGTGACGGAGTTCGGCTTCGGCGTCGGCGGAGGGACGGCGACAGCGACGGGCTCCGGCAAGGTCTGGCTCGACAACCTGTCGATCCGGCTCGCAGACGTGCTGGCGGGGGTGGGTGCGGGCGGGCCGCCGGGCGGGGGAGGCCCGCTCGGCTGCGGCGCCGATTTCGAGGTCGACCTCAAGTTTGATGGTACGAGAGCCATATGCGGAGTATACAGAGCAGCCCATTGCCTTCCCGCGACGCGAGTACCACCCGGTGTGTTCGTGACGCAGGCACCTTTGAGGGGCTTGGCTTCGAGCGGCTGTTCGGCTCGGGCGGGCCGCTGGCGCTCGCAGCGACGGGGAAGCTCCGAGAGAGCCGAGCGAGGTGCACTGACGGCGGAGCGACGCTGCCCGCCGTAGGCGCCCGATGTGACGGGCATGCTCTGCGACGGCCGAGAGAGCGGCGGCAGTCTCCTCGACTCGGGCTGGCAGTGGCGCGGCCCAGGCCCCGCGCCGGTCGGCATCCGGCAGCAGACGATGACGTACCTGCAGGAGCGGTGCGACCCGTCCGACCCACTGACAAAGCTCTTCGAGCGCTGCATGTTCGTCACCGAGTGGCTGCCCGCGGGCGCGCGCGGCGCCGCCGCAGAGATGCGCGCAGCGCTCCACAAGGCGCGCGGCTGAGGACCCAGGGAAGGTCGTGCGTACAACAGCAACGGCACCGCTCCTGGCCCATCGCATGCCGAGTGCGTGCGAGGGCCGCTGATGCGCGTGTCCCGTCTCTCCATTCTCAAGGTCATGTGTGGTGTCGAGGGTGTGCAGTGGCCACAACCCACATTAGCCCGCCCTCCACGCTCCCCCGTCCTCTACGACTACGTACTACGTTCATGATCATCTCATCAAACACATTGTCATATTGAAAATGAATCGGTGAAATGAATAGAGTATAGAGAGCGCGCATCAACCATCATCAGACATCACTACCTCACGAACGTCTCCCCGGACAGCGGACTCCGTGGTCTAGCTCTAGGATCGAAAGGAAGAACATTTCGCGTTTTCGAGACGCAAACACCCGGGGGACTCAAACAAATGAACGACAGCAAGAAAAGCGAACCCTGCGATATCGGCGAAGACGAAGGCCCCCATCAAAAGCGAGCTCCTGGCATTGAAACGAAACGAATCCCAGTCCAAGTTGCGCTACCTAGGGTTAGGGTTAGGGTTAGGGTTAGGGTTAGGGTTAGGGTTAGGGTTAGGGTTAGGGTTAGGGTTAGGGTTAGGGTTAGGGTTAGGGTTAGGGTTAGGGTTAGGGTTAGGGTTAGGGTTAGGGTTAGGGTTAGGGTTAGGGTTAGGGTTAGGGTTAGGGTTAGGGTTAGGGTTAGGGTTAGGGTTAGGGTTAGGGTTAGGGTTAGGGTTAGGGTTAGGGTTAGGGTTAGGGTTAGGGTTAGGGTTAGGGTTAGGGTTAGGGTTAGGGTTAGGGTTAGGGTTAGGGTTAGGGTTAGGGTTAGGGTTAGGGTTAGGGTTAGGGTTAGGGTTAGGGTTAGGGTTAGGGTTAGGGTTAGGGTTAGGGTTAGGGTTAGGGTTAGGGTTAGGGTTAGGGTTAGGGTTAGGGTTAGGGTTAGGGTTAGGGTTAGGGTTAGGGTTAGGGTTAGGGTTAGGGTTAGGGTTAGGGTTAGGGTTAGGGTTAGGGTTAGGGTTAGGGTTAGGGTTAGGGTTAGGGTTAGGGTTAGGGTTAGGGTTAGGGTTAGGGTTAGGGTTAGGGTTAGGGTTAGGGTTAGGGTTAGGGTTAGGGTTAGGGTTAGGGTTAGGGTTAGGGTTAGGGTTAGGGTTAGGGTTAGGGTTAGGGTTAGGGTTAGGGTTAGGGTTAGGGTTAGGGTTAGGGTTAGGGTTAGGGTTAGGGTTAGGGTTAGGGTTAGGGTTAGGGTTAGGGTTAGGGTTAGGGTTAGGGTTAGGGTTAGGGTTAGGGTTAGGGTTAGGGTTAGGGTTAGGGTTAGGGTTAGGGTTAGGGTTAGGGTTA